GGCAGGGCTTAGAATTCCAGCTTTTTTCGCACTGTCAGAATATCATTCCAGCAGCGGCTGGTACGAAAAAAGTGAAGTAATACGATCCTCTACTTCATCTATTTTTTCACACCAGGCCTCGAAAGGTACAACCTGTAGAAGGCGGTAAATACCATATACAGAATGCACATTTTCCAGCACAAAAAAGAGCTTGAATCCTCTCTCACGGATCGAGGCCTTGAACATCCACTCCCCATCCGCATCCTCCTGTCCCTCCCATGAAGCGCTGAATGCTATCACAGCGTTCTGGATTTCTATCCAGCGTTGGAAGAGCTTGCAGCCTGTTGCGTTTTACAGGCGGACGAGGTCTCTCACAATCATCTCTGCACACCCTGCATGGAACTGCGAGCTTGAGCACTGCCCAGTCGTTATAGGAGAGAACCGCTGGTGAATGTGATAAATATGGCTTGAGAGGTTCGTCCTCAGCCACATCTTGGATTAGACACAGCTCCTCAGTGTCATAGCTGAACCAGTACCCAAAACTACCGGTATAGCCGTACGGTTCCAGCTGCCAAATTTGCTCCAAGACCTCTTTACCGCCAAAAGGAGGAACCTGCACTCTACACATGTAGAATGTAGATTTGCGGGGAGCACCGCCCCCTGCAGGCAGCTGATGGATCGCTATGGATTTTTCACAGAGCAAGGTTTGTGATAGTGGCGATGGCATGTCCATTCTCTCTTCTTTCACCTCTCGGGGAGAAGTTGAAGCATTGGTTGTAGACACTTCTTCCATTTCCTCTTGGCTCCCCTCTTTCACCTCCTTCTCCTCTTGGGTAGAGGTTGGTGCTTCATCCATCTCCTCTTGCCTCACCTCCTTCTCCTCTTGGGTAGACTCTTGCTTCACCATTTTCTTAGAGGTATTTCTTCGGCCTTTCACCATTCTGACACGATCTCAGTCTGTCCGTTGAAATGAATCTGAGCTTTTAAAAAGGCAAGCAGGGCTGGTGGGGGTTGTAGGGTCTCACGTATGATGGGTGGGAACTGTGAGGCTAACACAAAAGAGTTATCTTGACTTAAAGAAGAGCACAGTAACAATATACAACTTGACAAAAGGGTCTCACATGTGAAAGGGAGAGGCTAACACAAAACAGTTATCAAGCGTAACTAAAGTGGTTCAGATCAACAATACACATCTTCACAATAGGGGATTTCATGCGCCATATCACTACTGACAATACACCTGCCAATCAGATTTATGCTGGGGGGGGGGGGGGGGGCAAGGTCAATGAACAATACACCTGTCAATCTGATTTGTGCTGGGGGGGGGGGGGGTAAGGTCATGAGGTCAAAGAACAATACACCTGTTGGTGTCCCTCTGTGAAGCGTACCTCAGCGCCATTGGTGGTTGCATCCTTGACAGAGAAGATGTCCTGTGGGAATGTTGGGATGTAGAGTGTCCTCTGTAGCATTGACAGCACAAGACGGCACTTGCTGTCCTGTAGGTTAACCACAGCATCACCTCTCTTAAGTGCAACACCACTCGTCCTCGTTCCATCAGCGAGTTCCATGTATTGCTTTTCAGATTGGAAGGTTTCATCCAGGCATTTAAATATGTGATGATGTGGGATGTAACCCCATTGTCAACAATCAGACCTCCTTCTTTTAAACCAACATCAAGACAGTCACTTATCTTGAAAACAAGTGCATGATTTTCTTCATCAGCAACTTGTTTCACATCATCTCTCCATTTCCTTCTGTAATTTAGTTCTTCGTGAGTCCCACTCTGACAGTAAGTGCACCACATCCTCTCTTCCATCTACACTCACGTGCTTTGTGTCCATTCTGTTCTGTTCTGTTCTGTTCTGTTAGTCTTTCCAAATATCCTCTCTCTGCCGGTCTTACAGATGAGTCATCTGTTGTCATCAACATATCCTCAGCTGAGCTGGTATTGAATCTTTCAGTGCTTTTGTAGCTTCGTAGCTTGGTCTTGAAGTCACAGAAGGTTATCTTGTCATCACCTTGAGTTATATGGATTGCAAAAGGCTTGAATGTTTCTGGTAATCCCTTCAGAATCATAGCGATTATCAACCCGCCGCTTAGTCTCTCCCGTATTCCTCAATGCAGTTATTGTGGTTTATTACGGATGACATAATCAGTTACTCTCTCCCGGTTAGCTTTCGGGAGTAGCATTAGCTCCTTGTACAAACTTATCACACATGGTTTCCCTTGGCCAGTGCAATGGTTTCTCAGGGTTTGAAGCACCCTTCTTCCATTGTCTGGGGCATCTGTCATTACAAGGGAAAGACTTCTGTCATCCAGAAACTGAATTAATTCCGCATAAGCTTCCTCGTTCTTTGACATGTCATCTTCCTCTTCTGGTTCATGGAGTATCGTTTCCTTCCCCGTAGCCATTGGTGGCCCCAAAACTCATAATTCTTTTCATCTCAGTTGGAACATAATCTCTGGCCGCTGTTTCCGTACTCCATCTTGGGCCCATAACCTGTTGAGCGTTACATATGGACAGGATAATGGATGGCTTAGCTGATCATGACAAAGGAAGGACACACAGTCACAATGGACTCGATTCACAGTTCAGAGGCACACGTGACATTGGCGTCACGGTACTTCTTCCTGTTAAATCGTAAATGTCCTGTATTTGTATAGCGCCTTCTTAGGGTTCTACAACCCCCCAAGACACTTCACAACACAATCAGTCATTCACCCATGAGCCCACAATGTAGCCACAGCAGCCCTGGGGCACACTGACAAAGGTGAGGCTGCCGAGCACTGGTGCCACTGGTCCCTCTGACCACCACCTGTCACACCCTGTCCTGTCTTCTCCTAGGTTGTAGTCTGTGTCTCCGTTAATTGCTCCCACCTGCCTCTTGTTTCCCAATCACCATAGCTCCTGTTCCTCATGTATTTAAACCCCTGCTGTTCTGTGTTTCTTGTGGTGTCATTGTTAGAGTGTCAGCGTGCGTCTTTACTTAATAAACCTGTGGAATTCATCCTACCTGTCTGCCTGCTTCCTCCCCGGTCTTGATCCTCGCCTTTGCTCCGCTTCACTCCGCGCACGACGTGACAGAATGACACCACCCGAACCCATTGATGGATCCAGCCGGGAGATTCTGCCTTGGGAGAATCTGCTCCAGTGGCTTACCCCGACCCACCAGCCGGCTTCTCCCTCTCCAGCCCCAGCTCCGCCTCGCCGCCGCCGGCATCGCCGACCTTCGGCCGCAGCGTTCCTCCCTGTCCTCCCAGAACCGGAGGCATGTTTGGACCGGGAGCCGCTGCCAGATCGCTCCAGCTATGAGGGCACGAGGCTGGCGATCTGTTCCCCCGGAGTCGGTCCACGGCGTGGGGAGAGACGCCGGAAGCCACCACAGCCCAGCGCTTCTGGAGGGAGTTTCGAGCCCGCCGCTGGCCGTGCCCGGCGCGGCAGTTCGGACAGGCCCCCAGCCAGACCACCAGTCCCGTCTCCTGCCGAACCGGAGCCCCCGTCGGTTGCAGAGGAAGGAGCAGCAATCGCGGCCCGGCTGATGGAGCAACGGGCGGAGCTTGGCCGGTTCCGCGAGCTCCTCAGCCACAAGGAGTCTCACCTGGACGCCCTATCCTCCTCGTCCCGGGGCCAGAGGAGCGAGCGCGGGGTTTCCCCAGCGGAGCTCGCCGGTCAGCGGGCTGAGCTGGCCCAGCTCCGTCGGACGCTCAGCCTCAGGGAGCTAGAACTGGACGAGCTGACCTCCCGCCTCTCCTCATCGCTCCAAGCTTTATTAGCAGCGGCCCTGCTGCCGACCCGGAAGCAGACAGTACCGGATCCGGTCCAAAACTCGGCGGTCCAGAAGTCGAGGGACCAGAGGCTGACTCCTCCGGGCTAGAAGCAGACGGTACCGGCCCAGAAGCCGACGGAGCGGGCCGAGAGACGGAGGGTACCGACCCGGAAGCAGATGGAGCCGGATCCGGTCCAAAACTCGGCGGTCCAGAAGTCGAGGGACCAGAAGCCGACTCCTCCGGGCCAGAAGCAGACGGTTCCGGTCCCGGTCCAGAGGCCAGCGGTCCAGAGGTCGACGGTCCGAAAATCGAAGGACCAGAAGTCAACGCCCGTGGACCCGAAGTCGATGGTGGTCAACGCCCCTTCCTGTTCTGAAGTCGACGCCCCTTCCTGTTCTGAAGTCGACGCCCCTTCCTGTTCTGAAGTCAACGCCCCATCCTGTTCTGAAGTTAACGCCCCTTCCTGTTCTGAAGTCGACACCCCTGATGTCGACGTGTCCGAAGTCGACGCCCCTGATGACGACGTGTCCGAAGTCGTCGCCCCTGATGACGACGTGTCCGAAGTCGTCGCCCCCGATGACGACGTGTCCGAAGTCGTCGCCCCTGATGACGTCCCGTCTGATGACGTCGCCCCTGATGACGTCCCGTCTGATGACGTCGCCCCTGATGACGTCCCGTCTGATGACGTCGCCCCTGATGACGACCCGTCTGATGACGTCGCCGTCTGATGACGTCGCCCCTGATGACGTCCCGTCTGATGACGTCGCCTCCGATGACGTCCCGTCTGATGACGTCGCCTCCGATGACGTCCCCTCCTCCTCTGGTGACGTCCCGTCTGATGACGTCGCCTCCTCCTCTAGTGACGTCCCGTCTGATGACGTCGCCTCCTCCTCTGGTGACGTCCCGTCTGATGACGTCGCCTCCTCCTCTGGTGACGTCCCGTCTGATGACGTCGCCTCCTCCTCTGGTGACGTCCCGTCTGATGACGTCGCCTCCTCCTCTGATGACATCCCGTCCGATGACGTCGCCGTCACCTCTGATGACGTCCCGTCCGATGACGTCGCCGTCACCTCTGATGACGTCCCGTCCGATGACGCAGTCGTCTCCTCTGATGACGTCCCCGAAGTCGGCTCGTCTGATGACGTCGCCGCCTCCTCTGATGACGTCCCCGAAGTCGGCTCGTCTGATGACGTCGCCGCCTCCTCTGATGACGTCCCCGAAGTCGGCTCGTCTGACGTCGCCGCCGCCTCTGATGACGTCCCCGAAGTCGGCTCGTCTGACGTCGCTGCCGCCTCTGATGACGTCCCCGAAGTCGGCTCGTCTGACGTCGCCGCCTCCTCTGATGACGTCCCCGAAGTCGGCTCGTCTGATGACGTCGCCGCTGCCTCGTCCTCTGAAGTCGGCTCGTCTGATGACGTCGCCGCTGCCTCGTCCTCTGAAGTCGGCTCGTTCGATGACGTCGCCGCTTCGTCTGGGGATGCTCTTTGCACTCAAGAGGCCGACGCTCCGTCCAGCCCGGCGTCTCCACGGTCTCCAGTTCCGATGGTGGTTTTGAGGGCAACGCCGGCCCAGCCTGCAGTGACTTTGTCGCCGGCCCAGCCTGCAGTGACTTTGTCGCCGGCCCAGCCTGCAGTGACTTTGTCGCCGGCCCAGCCTGCAGTGACTTTGCCGCCGGCCCAGCCTGCAGAGCAGCTCCTCTGCCGCAGGCGCCGGCCTCCAGAGGCCCGTCGCCTCCTCTTCTGCCGCAGGCGCCGGCCTCCAAGGGCCCGTCGCCTCCTCATCTGCCGCAGGCGCCGGCCTCCAAGGGCCCGTCGCCTCCTCTTCTGCCGCAGGCGCCGGCCTCCAAGGGCCCGTCGCCTCCTCTTCTGCCGCAGGCGCCGGCCTCCAAGGGCCCGTCGCCTCCTCTTCTGCCGCAGGCGCCGGTCTCCAAGGGCCCGTCGCCTCCTCTTCTGCCGCAGGCGCCGGCCTCCAAGGGCCCGTCGCCTCCTCATCTGCCGCAGGCGCCGGCCTCCAAGGGCCCGTCGCCTCCTCTTCTGCCGCAGGCGCCGGCCTCCAAGGGCCCATCGCCTCCTCTTCTGCCGCAGGCGCCGGCCTCCAAGGGCCCGTCGCCTCCTCTTCTGCCGCAGGCGGCGGTCTCCAAGGGCCCGTCGCCTCCTCTTCTGCCGCAGGCGCCGGCCTCCAAGGGCCCGTCGCCTCATCTGCCTCAGGCGCCGGCCCCCGGACTCTGCCGTTCCCTGCCGCCTCTCCATCGTCCTCTGGGCCCTCCCTCCGGGTCCCCCTCCCCCCGCCCTGCTCCTGGTTCCTGTGGGCGTCTGGGATCCGCCCTTTGAGGGGGGGTACTGTCACACCCTGTCCTGTCTTCTCCTAGGTTGTAGTCTGTGTCTCCGTTAATTGCTCCCACCTGCCTCTTGTTTCCCAATCACCATAGCTCCTGTTCCTCATGTATTTAAACCCCTGCTGTTCTGTGTTCCTTGTGGTGTCATTGTTCCAGTGTCAGCGTGCGTCTTTACTTAATAAACCTGTGGAATTCATCCTACCTGTCTGCCTGCTTCCTCCCCGATCTGGATCCTCGCCTTTGCTCCGCTTCACTCCGCGCACGACGTGACACCACCAGTAGGCAAGGTGGGTTAGGTGTCTTTCCCATGGACACAACAGCAGCATTCTCTGGTAGGAGCCGGGATCGAACCTGCAACCTTCCGATTACTGGACAACCTGCTCTACCTCCTGAGCTGCTGCTGTCTCATTTTATTAACACCTGATTGAACATCTCCACATACACACAGGTGTAAGAGCACACACAATCGAGCTGATTTGCAACATTCTTCTTTTGTTTTAGTGATTCCTCTTTTCTTTTAGTGATTCTTAATTTGTTTTTATGATTCCTCCTGTTTTTGTCAATCAGATATTTTTCTGTGATTTTTCTTTTGTTTTTGTGTCACTCCATTTGTTGTTGTGTTTAGTGATTTGTTGGTGTGGTTTGCACTTTAGGGCTACTGTAAGAAATGCTTCACACAGCTCTCCCTCTTGCTGAACAGGTATTCACACAAAGCATTCTGCCTGAGCTTCTAACATGCAGCATGGACCCCAAACGATATGCACCTAGATTAGAACTAGCTCACATTGTCAGAGAGTTTGGGAAGATCACCACCTGCGAAAATTGCAGTAGGCATTTATGCTACAAATGTGCCAAAGTTAAAAGAAAGGTTAAAGAATGGTATCGCGATGATTGTAAAAGGCAAAAAGAGAGCGAGAGAAGCCAAATAGAAAGCAATGTGAAGCATTTATTGTAACATAGCTTGTTCAAATTAAAGTGTGCACCGTAAAAAATACATGTGTGTTATTGATAACTGCTACAGTTTACATACACAAAATAAAAGCTTTTATTGTATCATTGGCTGTTTAAAATTTTATCAAAGTTTTTGGTTTATGTTTTTGGAACTCTACATTTACAAATGTTAGTTAATGCAGCACACACAATAACAATGTCAGCTAACAGATCTACCTGTGAAAGTGTAATCACAGTAGACAAAATCTTGAAAGTTTTCCATCTACCCATTACTCTGTCAGTATGTATTCTAACGTTGGACGAGCGCCGTGATGTTTCTACTTCCTGTGCAGGCAGCTGCTTTTTACCTTTGGTAAAGTGAGGGATCCTCAGAGTAGCACCACGCAGGGCAAGCTCATCTCTGATGGTGAAACCACGATCTGCTAGTATCTCACCATTAACCTGTAGAAGGTCATAAAATCCAGACTCAGCTGTGAGTTGTTTGTCTGAGACATGTCTACCCCAGCCTGCAGACAGGAATACAATTGCTCCTGCAGGTGACATGGCGACCAAGTACTTAACTGTGTTATGGCTCTTGTAATTTGAATAAGTTTGTGCCCTGGCTGTTAGATTTGTGGGTCTGTTAATAAAGATTTCTGTGCAGTCAATAATGCACCTGCAAAGCTGGTATTTTGGTTTGAAACATTTTGGCATATTCTTTAATACAGCTTGCTTACTTGGTCACTTGATTAGAGGTTTCAAAGTCAGAGACGTAACGGGGAGCCAACTTCTCTTAATTTTAGAGATGTCACATTCAGTGACATGGAATCTGAACGCAATATCCTTATTGGTGAACCCCAACCGAAGTTTCATGAGGATGACCAACAGATTGCCCTCTAGGGTCAGAGATCTACGCACAACCTCCACGCTGTCTTTAACCATCTGAAGGACCCAATTAAAAAGAGCACTGGTCAGACCAGTGAAAAACAGCACCTGGGCAGCTTTAAACTGGAGGGATGCAAATGAGAACTGTGTAGCCCTGACCAGCGTTTTTAATTCTTCATTCTCAGCTTTCAGTTTGTTGAAGTCCACGCGCAGGTCGTCACACAGGCTGTACCTCTATTTGAGGTCATCCTGGTCAGCCTTTGGCACCTTAGCTTCTGAAGCATAAATTAGACAAAGTCAACAGTTACATTCTCTGGGTGATCAGTAAGAATTTAACAAACAAATAACAGCTAAGTAACTTAGTGAGATTCACAACAAATATATCAACATGATTACAACAAGGCTAAACCATGCAGTGACTGACTTCGTCATCATAAATTACTAACATGTTAATGCCATTGGCTGTTTTTCCATAATAAAAATTAGCTTTGCAGAGCGTGTTGATCATGGTTAGTTAAAGGTTCTGACTAGGACAAAGTTCAATACCAGGCTCCATTCCATCATTGTTTGAAAAGAGGTAAGTGGGTGTAGATCGATGTTCTGTACATCTGCTGGGGGTTTCATTCCTTCAACTTTTTCTTTTATATCTGAACACACAGAAGAGAGCAGACATTTAGTTAAAAAAAGCAGTTACTGTACTTGGTTAACAACAGTTTTATTACATCCTCACTCAGTACAAAATATACACCCAAACATTCCAACTCTCTAATCTGAGTTGTCTGTGTAGCATGCCTCAATCAGACAACAACAAATAACAGCATGTCCTCACATTTACCAATCTAATTTTGCCTCCTTGTCTTTTCCAGTCTGGTTTGAATAGGGGAGGATAGGCAGGACAAAGTTGGGATTCTCAAAGTCGTCAGATACCTCTCCTGTACAAATAAAGAGCATTCTAGTAATTTACGTTCATGGTAGCCACAGGCCGGCTAGTGGGCCTACCTTATAGCATTTGTTTCTACAGGTTTAGCAACACAAATGAGCTAAAGTTTACCAAGGCACTTTAACTTACAAGCTTGAGAGATTAATAATTCAAAATAAAATATATAGGATTCAGTTATTGAGTTTACGTAACCTATGGTGCTGATTAGCTTATTGTTGTCGTTGTTTTTATCCTACCTGAACTGAAGTGATCGATGCAAATTCGAGCATTTTTAAGTATCTGCTCATTCCAGTCGCTCCTTCTGATAGCTTGCAATCAAAGACATCTTTTGTTTCTCATGATAGGGGTGCGAGTCGATGGAATTCTGTAGAAATTGCGCAATTTTTGATTTTTATCAAAACGATATGTACAAGCAACAGCACAACAAGACTTGATCGTTGATCCCTTTCTGCAACGCACATGCTCATTAAGCCTGGTTTATGCTTCTCTGTCTGCGTCAGTGCGGAGACACGCAACACCATTATCCGTCCTTGCGTAGGGCTCCGGCAGGCACATAAGTACGTACGGAGTCGAGCCCACTTTTTTTAAACATCCGTCGAACGAGACGGAGAACGCAAGCTTGTGATTGGTCAGGACGCCACTGTTGTTTACAGCGCCGCCATTGCAAAGAGAGCCGAGGATAACTAGTGGCAGACACGGAGAAGCTTGAAGAATACCTTGCGAAAAAACTCTAAAAATATGAACGTTTAATTCTCCCGTGACTGGAGGAGTGAAAAGATGCGCAGCAAGCATTTTATTTGTGGACGGAAATGACAGGAAACGTGGGTTTAGAGGTGGGGAGCGCATGAAGAGGTGGGAGAATGAGGGACAAATATGTCCGTGTTAAAAGTCTCATATACACAAAAAACACAATATAAGCACACGATCTTGGACCGATACATGACAGGATACCACAGAACAGCGCTACGCCCTCTGTTGTCCTGGTGGGGAATTGCTTTGCATCACTCTCCAGGAGACGGAGAAGTATGAGAGCAAAACACTTCCGTCAATCCGTGTGTGTCTGTCCCTTGCAGAGCTGACGGAGAAGCATAAACCAGGCTTTAGGGTGGGACTGAAAATAGGTCAACAATGGTTCAGCAACACCAAGTTTCGACACAGTAAAGACGTGTGGTCAGAAGAGGCAAAGCAGGCTCTTCCTCCCATCTTCCCGCCTGTATCGGCAGCCTCGCCTCTCAATGTGGTCCTGGACAGCTGTGGTTACATTGTTGCTCATCACCACTAGTATGTGAATGTGTGTGTGAATGGATAAATGACACTGTAGTGTAAAGCGCTTTGGAGTCCTCTGGTCATAATCGCTGAATTTGCACAATTCGTAATCAAATACAAAGCAGAAGACTGAGGGAATGTACTAACGAGCCGTCTTTTTGATCTCACTGAGCCGCGCCTGCGCCACACACATGAACAGATTTAGGCAGAGAGCATGCGCCAACTCCCTTGCATTTGTGCTCTGTGTTCAGCATAGGAAGTAGATGAGAGCTGCCTCCATTCTCACAGTTTCTGGTTGATTGTTAAAACTTTGCATAAATAGAGTTTACACAAGACGGGATGATCCTCTCGTCAGGGACCACAGGCAAGACACTTAAAAATGCTGGATTAGCTAAAGATGAGTTTCGCACGTACGTTATTGGGGTGACCTTTCAGGCAAAAAATATGTAATGACAAGAAAATGAGAGGCTTAACCATCAAAAATGTTTGAAAACTTACCTACTAACTTTCCAAAAGAAACCCATAACAGAAGTGTTAACTGTTTACTGTAGATGTAAGTAAAGTAAGTCTTAAAGAGGTCGTAATGCCCCCCCACCTCAGAGTCTTACTCCACCCACGTATCAATTTTAAAAAATGCAACATTAGTAGGCGTTGCCTGGAGGACTGAGAGGGCGGAGCCGCGGCAGTGACGAAGACGATGGCTAACTAGACGATGCTAGCTCCCTTCTCTCTGAGCAGTTATTAGAAGTGGAGGACGTTTCTCCCCCTCCTTACCCAGACACTCGAGAAGAAAGGGACCAAGTCTATTTGGAGGAGACAAGCGGACCTGAGCCTTATTGTTTTGAGCTTGTGAGTTGCCTGAAACTAGTGGAACCGACCCAACAGAACCAGCTCTGAATGGTAAGTAGCCATTAGCCATAGCATTGGATTAGCTGCAGGGTTTGGCTCCACGGCCCTAAAAAGCTATTTTTCAGCATGTTTTAGAGGTTTATCTGCTTCAACACACCTGGTTTTAATCAGCAACAAATAGCTGAGCTGCTTAACAGCTAATCTAACCTGTTAAAGCAGGAAAAAAACTGAAACGTGCTGGATAGCAGCTCTCCAGGAGCCCTGGGCTCAAGTTAGTCTGCTGCATAGAAAGTTATGAAAATACCCCATGAGAAAATTATTCTGTAATGTGTTCAGCCCACTAAAACTGCCCTGATTTATTTATTTACTGATAACAGCTGCTCTCTTGGTTCTAGGTCCTCTGGTGTCTGCAGCTGGTCTCTGGTGTCGTCAGGATCAGGAGCTTCCAGAAGAATGTGCCTTTCAATTACTCTTTCCCCCTTATTTATTATATTAATTAATTAAATCTCAATTTATATATTTCCTGTTTTTGTTCATGTCCATAAATACTTAAACATGCTTGAAATTAAAATGAGCTTTTAACAGTGAGGTGCTAGTTTAATTCATCACAATAGAGCTAGTTAAACATGCACCAATGTAATAATCAATGTAATTTATAAATATCCATTAAAATATCAAAACTGGAATCTAAATGAGATATTTGGCAGCACAAAAAACTTGTCAAACACAATATTTATTATAATAATTGTAGGCAGACAGGAGACAGAGCTGATGGAGGTTCTCAGTCATCGAAGGATGGCTGAAGGCTTTCCAGGAACAGGAGATGTGGTGTTGTCTCTTCTCTCTCTATTCTGCCAGATGAGCTGATAGGTTACAGGTGTGTGAGGACATCCTCATGCTGTCACAACCAGATGACAGGAGTTATCAGGTGATCAGCCAGGCTAATGATGAGATGCAGAAAGAAAACAAATCCAGCACAGTTTACAATAATAATAATATGTGGTGTTGCTCACCTTATGTGCTCTTATAGAGTATTAACGTGTGCCTACCTCATGGTGTAGAGTCCATATTTTGCTGAGTGTCCTGCAATAATGCAGGTTATTAGTTAATTTACTTTTGATAGCAAAAACAAAATATTTAATGTAAAAGTTATTCACCAGGTGAATCAGCACACACGTCACCACCAAGTGTCACAGGGCCAGAATCAGTAGCCTCCTTCATGATGTCATGATGTAATCACATACTTATTTAATTGTTGTCTTAAAAATTCTGAAATGTTTTATTTTTTTTACCTTGAACAGTTCACTGAGCTTGCACTGAGCTTGCACTGTCACTGAGGTGGAAACTGGAATCAACAGCAGACACCTCACATCTTGGTCTTTTCAGGGGTGTGGACGCTGCTCTGGGACTTTCTGGAAGATGAATTTCCATCATGGTCCCTGCGGCTGTGAACTCTAAACTGCGTGGCTATGTAAAAACAAAGAAACAGCACATTTATAAATGTTTAAAAGAGCATAAAATCATGTGTAACAATAATCCGTAAAACAAATTAAAACTAGAAGGTAATAATAAAATGTTTACATAGAAGATTGTTAAAAATAATTCACCTTTGCTACGGGTAAGGCTTCACATCAGCCTGGACAAGTGCATTCTTGCAGACTACTAAATCAGTCTGACAGCCAATGTCTCGGGTAGATTTAGCCTGAAAAAAAAAATAGAAGCACATTGTTGTTGGGAGTTTATAAAGTCAGATAATATACAAAAGAAACTGTCCTACATAGGCGCTTTACAACATTCCTAGTGTGTGATCGTTGTTATAAAGTAAAAGTCAGTCACACATGATGTGGAGAGCCTGAAATGCGACCTCCTGAACAGAATTCCTCACGGAACCGGGTCACAAGCTGGATTTCACGCTGTAATGCTGTCTGTCAACTAGTGCTGCGTCAGTTAGAGCCACTGTTGCAGAATTGCCGACTGACTAGCTAAAGGAAGTGAACCACGTCGCTCAGACTTTGCATTTAGGTAGGGAATTGTCTTTAGAAGATGTCAAAACTTTTATTTAGCTTACTCACCTCAGACTGGAGCCTGCCACGGTGGGGGAGCAGAGTCGGTGGGCTGCATCTAAATCGCGGAAGAGCCACGGTGGACACAGCCTCCCTCTTCAAACGGAGACGTGCAGAATCGCGGGTAAAATGCTGTTTGCAAACTACAGCACCAGGCGGGAGCTGAATGTTTTCCAGACACCGATTGCACACAACCACTGGCGCCTAATTTCTAAGTCCAGCGGAAAGGAGTACAACCCCACAGAGCCACCGCAACCATACTACACTACACCTTCTCACCATACTAACACGATATGGAGCACTAAACCCGAACTACTTTCCTAATTACACTAACAGCCAAACACTAACTAAACTACACTATCCAACAGCCAAGCTAACACTAAATAAGTATGTATAACACTAAAAGCTATGCTAAAGATTAGGATATGCTAACGCTTTATGCTAATGCTGAACTACCGCTAACCTCCTACAATCGCTTGCAAATCCAACTCCCAACTCGCCACAAGGCGTGGCCGAGACGCTCATTGCTTTTATAACTTTGACACAGAGCTGCTACGTAGTACTCTACTGGTTTACGTAGTATCTTACTCTTTAGCCATTGGCTAAAATTTATTCAAAATGAGTCAAATTCTATGTTTTAAGCTGAAGGTGGTGCTATACTGTGGTATTTAGGCAGAATTTTTAATTTTTAAAGAAAATGCACCAAAATGCTAAAATAACGAATACACACATTTAAAACACTATTAGACACTCATTTATACAGTTCATCAGCAAAAAAAAGTTAATCTAGACGTTACTTGCTCTTTAAACATTTCTGATGGTAAGACTCTCACTTCCACGTGACTTCATTGTTTTTGCCTCAAAGGTTGCCCTAATTCTCTATTACTGTAATGCACAATGTACAGGTGAAGCTAATCTTTAGCAGAGCTCCTGTCTCTGCTCAAGTTCAGCTTAATCAAATATATACTGTGCGATCCACATTAGAGTAATAATTGTATCCTTTTCTGATGCAACCCACAAACAGAACAATAAAGTAACAAAACTCTGCTTTCATTTTTTCATCAAAATAAAACGTTGCCATGTTTACTTAGCTGGGATCGAGGCACGGTTGAATGAAACGCTGTTTCCAAAAGGTACAAGTTGGCTGGTCTGCAAAGGAGTTTGTTCTGAAAAGTTATTTCTTACCATTTTCAGCCATGCGTTGAGTTAGGAGAGGTGAGCATGTCCTTTGCTGCTCAAGAGTTGAAGATGTGACCATTTCAGAAGCAGATAATTCCCTAACATCCCCATTGCCTGCTGAAGCCTCCAGCTTCGTCTCAACTATCCATGGCTAAAGCACTTCTTTCTTGACTATGACCCGCCCTCGCACCTTTCAGCCAATCACAGAGCAGTAATTTGGTCTGTCTTCCATTTCATTCAATGTCACATCCGTGTCACATTGTGCCTTGGGTTTTACCTTAATTATGTTCACCTGCCTCTTGTTATCTGAGTACCCATCCCAGAGTGTATATAAGCCTTGTGTGTTGCTTGTGGATTTGTCGGTTCATACTCGTGACATGTCATTTTGCGTTCACACCTGTTTACCCTGTCGTGTGTAGTGTTATTAAGATCCTATTGTCTGCCCTTAACAGCTGCCCCTTCACACAGTAACAACGTGTAGGAATCGCCAAGGTCGGATGCTGGTTTCAGTATGTTTACATTCCAGGAGAAGAGACAGAAGAAGAGAAGAAGAATGCTTTCCATTAATTAATCAAAGTACTTTATTCGTGATAAAGCTAATCAGAGCATATGTTGATCATTAATAATCAGGTGAATGATCTGTGAAATAAAGATGTCATGAGTTATGTGTTTAATGAATAAACAGGACTGCACCAGACAGACTGATCTACATTAACATGGAAACGCATGACACATTTGCTCTCATCCAATCAGAACTTTCGTCTGTGGTAGGGCAGAATCTGGGTTGTTTAATGAAGTTGTCCAATCCGGTTTACTAAGATTTGTAAACAACTAGGGGATATAAAACAAGGCAACGCCATTTTATACGCAGTTACATTTTAACCTCAGTTCTGTTCGATCTGAGCTTCAAAGGAGTTACATCATACTCTCAACGTAGTTTTAAACCAGCTCTTGATCCATCACCGCAAAGAGAAGTACAGCCTGGCCAGATGTACTTTCTACTTTAAGCTGAAAACTGTCAAGCTGGAGATTTCCGTCGTTTGAACAACAAGACGACGTTCCTTCAAAATAAGAGCTGAACTCGCTGACGCCTGCCGCTGCTACCGGAGTCGACCCTCGGACGGGCTTTGTAGTGCTGCGACCGCTGTTTCACCAGCTCCAGCACACCTGAAGGTCCGAGGACCTGGCAATTCCTGATCTACACGGGAGGCTCCACAGGGTACGTGGTTACGGCAAAATGGCGGCTCATGTCATCAGCTTCTGAAGCCTCGTGGTAGCCTAGTCATAACAACCAGATTCGCTACATCAGCCTAGAGATTCTGAACAAAACACACACACACACACCAACACTATAACATTCAGATCCATATGCATCCATCATTGAGTTAGTCCTGGTAGATTGTAAGAATTTATAATTATAGAAATTAAAGATTCTTAAACGATCCCAACTCTCTCTTTTCTTGTCTCTCAGTCAATACAGAGTGTTTAAGTAAACTCCCTGATGATAAAAACAACCACTTCTGATTATAATATTTAGATCTAATTACAGTGTATAAATATACAAACTACAGATCACTACACGTGTCTGCACTCCTGACCATCAAAGAGGAACCAAATGTCCATTGCTGTCTTGCCTGGGTTCATTTACCTGCCTGAAGGATCCGCTCTTCCTCCCTCACCTTCCCTCCACATTGTGACAATCCGTTTCATCTAAACTTCTTTCACATTCATATATTCTCCTCCCACACATTCGTGCTTGCACATTAATACATACTTTCTGGTTTGACATTACAAGAATATCAAAGACAAAATATGAATCAATGTGAAAATGAAGAACGTGTGTGTGTGTGTGTTTGTGTGTGTGTGTGTGTGTGTGTGTGTGTGTCAAATTAAACTAGTCATTTGTTTTAGGGACAACAGAACAAAGAAGAATTTTATTAAGCTTAGAGGTGAAGAGTGAAGCTGTTTATACATGACACAGAATATATGTGTATAATGTGTATATGTATAAGAATGTATACATGTGTATATATGTATGTAAGAGTAACAGAATGAATTATGGCTTATACACGACCCCACATAGAATGAGATTGCCTAAAAACATCAGATATGTATCAGATTCTGGACTGCATTTGCAAAGTTCTGGGTTTAATTGAAATCTGAAATATTTGTGCTTTTTAGACTCACAAAAACCAAAATATGTTTGGCTTTTGGATACTTTCCTGCTATGTTTTGTTTCAGTGCTGCAATTTCTATACGTTTTATTCTATTTTCACTTTCATTTTGATCTACTTTTTGTAATATTTTTTCAATATGCACTTTGAACTGAAGGTTGCGGTTTTATTATCTTTGTTTACATTGCAAAAAAATTACAATAATATTATATTTGTATCCTTTTACCTGCGGTGTGAACATATCCTAAAAGACCATTAACAGATCAATTTTTTTGTAAAAAATACAGCAAACTGTGTTTTTCTAACCAAGAAGCATTAATAAAAAACAAAGTGCTTGATTATGATAAAACAATGTGTTTGGTATGTTTAATAATTGTTTCTGATATATATATATATATATATATATATATATATATATATATATATATATATATATATATATATATATATATATATATATATATAAACCACTACATGTGACTTTATTTAACAGATTCAATAGCATCTCTTTTTCTGACAGTGTTTTAACATTCTTCCTAGGTGGAAGTACAATAATATCTTTAGTGTCTTTTAGCTATTTTTCTGAATTAATTTTGTATTCTTTTACACATCTGAGTAGAAGTAAACTGATTCAGGTTTTAGGGTGACGATTTAGAACATTTACCTTCCAGATATGTTCTCATTGCTTCACATTCATGAGGTAACGGATTGAAACTGACCATGCTTTACAAATGCAAGTCAGTGAGTGCTCAAGACTTTTATGTTTGAATGTAACATGACGTACCTGACTCATCTTTGCTGCTTCTCCCCTCACTTCCAGGAAGCACAGCCTCCACATCCTGCTTCCCAAAGTGAAGAGCGTATATATTCACCAGCTTCTTGGGAGAGATGCTTGTCGAGCCTCCTGATGATGACCGCTCCCTGTGAGCTTTAACCAAGCCAGCTTTATCGGTCTTCTCTAACGACTTAGAGCGTCTTTCTGAGTGCATCCCAGAAATCCGAAATCCCCTCCGGAAGTAAAACAAAGGTGTGCTGGTTCTGGACTCGTCATCCCTGAGGCATCCTCGGCTACTAAACCTACAAGATAAGTGTTGTCTAGGAGATGTGTGGGTGTCTGGGATGCTTCCTAGTGTACCAGCTCTTTCTTGAAGTCCCATGCTGTGTTCAGGGCTTTCCTCCACAATGGATTCAGAGCTGGAACCGAAGGTCATAGGGTTCTGAAGGGCTTCCATGTAGGACTTCCTGAAAAGTTTTCTTCTCTCAAAGGAAACAGAGTCTCTAGGCATATTGTGTTGAGGGCCTGGATTACTGACATCTGTATCAAAAGAAATCACTTTGGACCCTGTCACTAGATCACTACTGTCCTCATCCCGTGGTTCTTTGCCACACTCCTCTGCAGGTCTTTCTATTTGAATGGTGGGTGTAAAGGGACCATCCCTGTTGATGTTAAGGTTCTCACTGCTGGAGTCCATGTGGCTGATTGGAGAGCTGGACTCAGAAAAAACTGAGTCAGCTCCTGAGGAGTACAGGGACTCTCTGGAGCTGTGGTGGATTTCCAGAGTCCTGGTGGATCCGCTGGTGCTGCAGGTGCCGAGATGGCCCCAAAAGCCACCTGTACTGCAGTGAGCCTGCATGATGTTATCTGCTGTGCTGCAGACGAACAGCGGGCAGACAATGTTTTTCCATGGTGTCCTATACACAGCGGTACCACTGGTGAGCAGACAGTTCTGCAGAGGATGCAGGTTTTGTTCACATGTTACATTATGCAGGAACTCAGCTGTGAAGATGCTGCCATACATGCTCTCTGAAATGGGGACTTCTGCAATGGCTTTCCCACTGGCAGACAAACATTTTATCACCAGCTTGGCAGCTTTACGGCCCAAAGGAACTATCTGTAAGTAGAAGTCCCCTTGCCTTAGTCGAACCTTATGTAGAGGAGAAAGTTGCAGGACAACTTTCTCATCAATGCAGAGAGGCCACCCTTCATGGTAGAACAGCAGACCTTTGAATTTCACCTGAGAAAAGAAAGAAGTCAGTGACTCCCCTGAAACATAATTATCATCTGTGTTTCAGGGCCCAGCCATGGTACCACTTGCATAATGTACACTTACATCTTCAAAGCTGTGTTTAAACACATGTTTAGCTTTAATGAGGAGTCAAGGATTTTTTCCTTGGATGCACTGGATGAATCACTCTAGGTAGAAATCGTTCAATTTAAAAAACCTGTCTGATCAGGCCTAATTTTGCAGCAGCTGCAAGACAAATCTTCACGGTGACAGCATGAAAAAACAGACCCCACGAGAACAATTGCAGAGCTCAGGGGTTGGCGTCTTGTCTTTTTCTTCTATTGCCTAATAGGAAAACGAAAGGAAATATGATGCTCTGAAACCTCTCATGTTGCCCTACAGTACAAAGACCCTCATGCATAGTGAGCGGCTCTCAGGAGCCAGGCTTAGATGAAACTATTGCTCTGTGGTTTTCATCACAGTGTAATCGCCAGAAAGATCAATATGGAGGAATAATTTGGTCTTCTGAGTCCCAAACTTAACAGCAATCAAAGACAGAATATTACGTTTCGCTACCCAAAACTGTCTCAAACATCTCTGAAACTGCATGTATGTCAAATACTCACACAGCTCTCTTTTTGAATTATCTGCAGAATCCTCTTAGCAGGAAGCAAGAAGTCAATGAAGCAGTGGAGGCCGTCTCCATGGTACTGCCTTTCCACCACGCTGAAGAGCTGCCAGAGAACAGTCGAGGCGGTGGCACTGAAGGGACAGTACAGAGCTGACAGGGTGCTCTGGATACAGTTGTCTAAAGACTCGGGATCCTAGAGAAATTAGGAAGAAGGTTTGAGATGGTAAATATTTTCAAATAGCAAAATTAGAGGCAAATATCTAAAATACTGGCAGGGTTGAAGATGGTTCCTCATATGTATGTATTTTCTTTGCAGTTTTACAAAAAGAAGAACTGGAAGATTCAATATCAGTGACTGCATTTTTTTTATACTTAAGGAAAAAATAGAAATAAACATTATTTTTAGTTGGGACAAATAAGTTGCATTTCACAAGCAATTTGAAAAAGAACCACTGATCAGTAAGACTTTTCTAGATTGTAGCAGAGGTGGGACCAAGTCATTGTTTTGCAAGTCTCAAGTAAGTCTCAAGTCTTTATCTTCAAGTCGAGTCAAGTCTCAAGTAAAAACCGGGCAACTGCGAGTCAAGTCTGACACTTGAAAGTCATTTGAAGTCAAATTTTTAAAACAACATTGCAATTATATGTTCAGTGTAAATCATAGACCATGTGTCTATTTTTTAAATTTTTATTTCATTATTTGATTAAACAAGTGTAATCTGAACTTGTAACCAAAGTAGTTCTGTACTTACACCATACATTTTTAATAAACCTTAGCTAAGAAGAACAGTCTTCCTTTAAACTGTGGTTCCCAGCCTTTTTTGACTTGTGGACCCCCCTGAGCCGTTTTCTCGTACCACACATACTCCCTTAGTCAAGCATGCTGATTCCTCAAAAGTAGAACGCACAAATGATTATTAAATGAAAATAATTTTATTAAACATCCTTAACACTAAACCACATGAAACTTTTCAGGTGAATTACTCATTTGACTCAATGATTTCAGATCCACGTGAAACTGGATCGCATTCATTAATTTGCTGTGAACAAGGCTTCATGGCCTTTCTCAGTGGCAGCTGCAGCCCTGCTCTGGTTTCTCCTTCATAGTGCTTCTTAACTCTGGTCAGCAGCTCCCCTGTCCAACAGGTTTTAGGTGTTTCCCTGCTGCCACACACCTGATTCAAATCAGTGATTGAGTAATAGGTTTCTGCAGCACTTGATGTCATCCTGAGGGGGCAATGCTTATACGTAAATCAGGTGAGCTGAAGCAGAGACATGGAAAACATGATAAAAGCTGGGTAGGAATGGGCCACATGGCCTAAAACTATATCACAATATATTACTTTCCTCCATTTATATATATTTATGTCAAAATTACTGGTTACATTTTCACATACCAGATGCATTTCAGCAGAATGTTTAATGTTCAAAACGTATTTAAAAATAAACCTTTCCAGTAGTTTTTATGTTATGATTCATTCTTCAAACAAAGCAACACAGAAATCCTCATGAAATGAATAAAGATGAAGATATGTAAATAAAATTCAAGCTAAATGTGATGAAAGCACATAATTATAGTTTGAAATTAAGTGAAAAATGTAAAAACAGAAATAACATTTATTCATTTTCTGATTCATTTATTAATTTTTTATGTTTCTGATTTTCTCGTACAAGTAAATCTTGCTTCCGTAAAGAAAACTGAAGGTAAAATGAGTTTGGAAAAACTCAGAGGTGTTTTATTACACAGCCGATGTTTGTCTTTTATTACATCCTTTTGTTTAATTACCCTTCTGTTTTATGAAGGGTTTGGTCTCTATGTTACGTGAGAATTTATAACCCTTGAACTATGTGTGTACTCTCAGCCCACCCCTTCAGCTGTGAGTTCCATTCCCACAGCCCCCTCCCCTCACCCTTTCAGATCTATGACGTAATACCCCCATCCCTCCCTCCAACATGGTCAGCTCTTTAAAAACTGAGCCATTTCGGCTCACACACACACACAATGTCAAACTGAGAAAAATCAGTGCTTCAGAATGGTGAAAGGCCAAAGAAATATCTCTAAAAAAATGGTGAAACACGAGGAGAAGCAAGAAGTCTCTACAGCCGAAGCTTCGGCATCTACCCGAGATAAGGTGAAAGAGGAGAACACAGAGACACCACCACTATCACAGACCTTGCTCTGTGAAAAAACCATAGCAATCTCGCAGCTGCCTGCAGGATTGTGAAGGATGGTGCTCTCTGCAAATCTACATTCTAAATGTGTAGAGTTCAGCTCCCTCCTTTTGGTGGTAAAGAGTCCTTGGAGCAAATTTGGTCACTAGAACATTACGGCTACACCAGTAGTTTTGGGTACCGGTTCAGATATGACACTAAGGAGCTGTGTCTAGTCCATGATGACCCACTCAAGCAATATTTATCGCATGCAGCAGTTCTCTCCCACAATGACTTGGCAGTGCTCAACCTTGCAGTTCTACGTAGGGTGTACAGAAATGATTGTCTCGTCCGGCTGCAGAACGCAACAGACCGCAAGCTCTTCCGTTGGTGGATGAAATCCAGACGTCGCGATAGCTTTCAGCACTTCATAGGAGGCGCGGGAGATTGCGGATGAGCAGTGGGTTTTCCAGGCCTCGGTCCGGGAGAGAGGACTGGAACTATTGTTTGTGCTGGAAAGCGTGCATGCTAAATGCGGTATTTGCCATCTTACAGGTTGTTCCTTTCAAGGCCTGGTGTGAGAAAATGGGTGAAGTTGCCAATCGTATCCCTTCACTTTTTCGTACCAGCCGCAGCTGGAAAGACATTCTGACAGTGCAAAAAAAAGCTGGAAATCTAAACCCCGGTAATCAAAGCTCTCGTACCTACAATCTGTAATGGATGCAAGATCGAGCACCCCAGCCAGCGGCAGCATGAATGTCTTTTTGTTGCTGAAAATGAATTATTTTACAATTTCCACTTTAATGACATTATCTAACCCCTAAGCTGATTCCGGCTCTTCAAAGTTTTCTAACTCTGCATGACACGAGGCTGGACGCTGAGGCTCTGTTCCCCATGGCTGTGACACTGCTGCATGAATTCAGGCATGTGGAGCCCATACACAAAGCCATCTTCCCTGTGTATGACACATGCTTGACCGATGCTCACCTGGATGCACTGACTCTTGAGTGAGCTGCAGGCGCTGTCTCTTCTGCAACTTGTTTTTTATTATAAACATTTCAGATTATTTCTAGTAGTTAAACTCTGATAGCTTGGTCATTTTTACAGTATGATTAGATTTTATTAATTATATTTGACTAGACAGCATGGTTATATTTTTACAGTGCGAGTAGATTTATTCATTATATCTGATTAGACAACTTGATTATTTTTACACTCTGTTAAGCTTTATTGTCACATACATTATTGTGTACAATTTCTGGAATAACAAGAAATAATGAGAATGAAAATGCATCATTTTTCCATGTGTCACCCAGAGATGGAGGATCAGGAGGTAATGAAAAGGGTTTATTATACACCATCACACCCGGGCAGTTACGGAGGTGTTGAAAGGTTTAGAGCTGTTTACGACAAGAGATTGGGGAGAAGGTTTCATCGGATAAGGCGAGCGATTTTCTTTCAGAACAAGACTCTGACAAACTCCATAAGCCAGCCAGCCAGAGTTCATTTTCCGAGAAATAAGGTTTTTGTCTCAGGGTCTCTAAAGCAGTTTCAAACTGACTTGTGCGACATGCAGTCATTAATGAAATCAAAACAGTGGTTTTAATTATCTATTAACCGTCATAGATGTATTTTCAAAGAAAGCTTATGTACGACCACTGAAAAATAAAATGGGGAAGGACGTTACAGAAGCCTTTGCATCGGTTTTGAAAGAGAGCGGGACCTCTAAAAAACTGCAAACAGATGCAGGTAAAGAATTTTTTAATAAAAAGTTTGATGCCTTAATTACGGTCGCCCTGAAGTGCAAACCACAAAACAAATCACTTAACACAACAACAAATTGATACACGCAACAACAAATCACTTCATGCAAAAACAAATCACAAAACGCACAATAAATTGAAAAGCACAACAACAAATTCACTAAACACAAAAACAAATCAAAAAACGCACAACAAATTGAAAAGCGCAAAAACAAAAAACAAACTGGAAGAGGTAGGTACCAATGCTGCAACAACAGGCATCACTGATTGGATGATGGATCCGTTAGCCTTTTGAACCGGAAGTTGTTCTGCGTAACGCATTTTTACAAACATGAACATTACCAGTGATCCACACGTTGCAAATCCACGGGAAGGATGCTTGTAAGAGTGCATTTTGAGGTCGATGACGTCACAGCGCAGCGATGAGTACTGTCCGAATTCCAAGAATACTCATTCTCGCGTCCTCAAACACGTCCTCGCTCCTGCTGTGGATGAGGAGGCCTACCTATCCTGGAAAAATAGTCTTGTGCTTTATAAAAATAAGCTTAGACAAACTAGAACTGCTTATTTCTCAGCGTTAATTGAGGAGAATAAGAATAATCCTAAATTTCTTTTCAGTACAGTTGCCAAACTTACACAGAATCATAGCTCTGAACCATCTATTCCCTTAGCCCTCAGCAGTAATGACTTTATGGGATTTTTCACAAGTAAAATTAATTCTATTAGAAACAAAATCTTTAGCATCCTCTCTAATGCAATTTCTTCTTCCTCAGTAAGTGAGGCATCATCAGAGGTAACTGTAGAACCTCATCTGTGCTTGAACCGTTTTGATCCAGCTGAGCTTTCAGAGTTATCAAAAATAATAGCTTCATCTAAACCTTCCACTTGCATTTTGGATCCAATCCCAACCAAATTATTTAAAGATGCATTTCCTTTGGTTACTGCCCCCATTCTAGATACAATCAATCTATCCTTAGTAAATGGATATGTACCACAGGATTTTAAGGTTGCTGTAATCAAACCTTCACTTAAGAAGCCTTCTCTGGATCCAGATGACCCAATGAATTATAGACCAATATCTAACCTTCCATTTTTATCCAAAGTCCTGGAGAAAATAGTGGCCATCCAAGTATGTCAGCATTTAAACACTAATGCTCTGTTTGAGGAATTTCAGTCTGGTTTTGGAGAGTATCACAGCACTGAAACTGCATAAGTGAGAGTTACAAATGATATTCTCATGGCGTCAGATAAGAATCTTGTGTCTGTTCTAGTCTTGTTAGAT